TAGTCAATGAACCAAACACCAGAACTCTGTTGTCACTTTGGGATAAAATTCTGTCCTGACCCCAACAACATTTGCCCAGTTCAACTCAGCCTTGACAAAAGAGGTCACAGAGTTTTCTCCCCAAGAGAAACAGCTCCTCTGTTTCACAGGGTTAAGTTGCCACCAACACTGATTCCACTAAAAATCTAAACATCAGCTGCTGGCACTTAGAGAGCTTTCAGCACTTGCCCTTTAACCAATTTTACTGAAAGGACACAAATGTTATTGCCATGGAGCAATATCAGCAGTGTGAAGGATTAATATAAGACAACATTATCACATCACTAATTTTCCTTTACTATAATATATACATATATAGACACACAGTAAAGTGGAAGAAAAATAGGCAGCTTAGCCTTACTAGTTCTGTACTTTAACATAAGATGCACAATTGAAAACACAAATATCTGCAGATATGCACCTCTTGGTTTGTTTTTTGTAGGAGAGGTGAGCATGTGCGTACAAGCATTAATATTTAAGCTTAAGGAATTTGTCCCTGTGGGTTTGTGGATGGAAATCCAAGCTCTTGGCTGTGCAGGAGTAGAAGCACACAAGGTGGGCTGGGAGTCCAGAGGTGAATGAAGCCAAAGCTGGAATAGGATCATAGCTACAACCAGCTCACCCAGCATGGAAATGTGTACATAAGTTACCAAATTCCTGCCCAAGAATCCCCAAAATTGCTTCAAACTCCTGCTTCAGGCAAAGGAACCCAGAAGACAGAGTTATTTTTTTTTTTTCCTGAAACAATTTGCAAGCCACCTGCTGTACCACCTCACGAGCCTTGTATTTCCCCTTAGCTTCATTTATTGATTGCATTTGCAGCTCTCTTCTTCAAAATACCCCCTTCCACCATGCAGTGCCTTCCTGAAGACTTGTGGAGCTGATAGCTTATTAAAATTGATGAGGGCCTTGATGAGCACACCAGTTTATTCAGCTCAGATAACAAAAGGACATTCTGCTTATTGAAATGTCATTTTTCCCCCCATGCTGCATTTCAATACAGTGTCATGACTATGCAGAAATAAAAAAGTTACTTTAGACCACGTGACAGGCATAAAGAGGAATTTTCATCAAAGCATAGCTCTAAAAAATCCTCTGTTAAAATCGGCTATAATTTTTAACCTGCATTATTGCAGTGTGAAATATAAAAGAACACAGGGCTGGTGACAGTAAACGCTAAGCCCATGTTTGATGTTTGATAAGGTTTGTCAGTAATTAGTATTAGAGAGAAGAAAACTCATGCCTTGTTTAATTTTATAGAGTCCAAACCACTCCCTCAGACTGTGAAGAAAGGTTATACATTTCCCCACTCAACCCTTTCTTGGAAAAATATCTCAAAACACAAGTAGAATTATTTCAGGCCCTATTTTTCTTCATCCTCATCTGAGCAAACCACAAGACTCATTTGTGGATTAGTTCATCCAGGGAGAACTTCAAGTGTTTGGGCTAAGAGGTACACGAAGAAACAGCATTATCAAGTTAAATTCCAACCCTTCCCCCTCTCCTTTTTTTCCTTTTTTTTTTTTTTTTTTTCCTTTGGCCAAACATCTGTCAACACTTCTATCTCCAGAGCACCAGGATGTGCTGATGCATTAAACAGCACAGCAGGTGGACTGGCAGACACGGGAGTGCCTGACCATAACCAGAGAGTTCAGCACAGCCCAAGTGCTGCAATTAACAGGGCAATAATATCAAAATGTATTTGCAGTGCTGACAGCTCAGGGTCTACATAATCATGCACCAAACATAGGCAGATCAAGGAAAAGAATCACATTCCCAAGGTAAATTCACATTTCAACTTCTCTCTCAAGCATTTTAAATTAATAGACTCTAATATTCCAAATTAGCATGTCTCAAAATCCCTGTGAAAACAGTGTATTCTCTACCACGGCATATATAGATCTCCATGTAAATAGAAATAGGAGATAAAACATGTATTCCAATTTACACTTGTTTTACCTTTCATCAGGTACGTTGTTCAGTAGCTGCTTACCATTTTTGCTGCTTTAGTTTAATTTTCTTTCCAGCATTGCATTGTTTTGCAACATCCCACCTGGACCCTGCCTAAAAAGGCCCCTGGAGGCATTAACACACCCAGAGCCTGGCAGAACTCCGGGCCACAGGCTCAGGTCTTTCCTCCTCCTTCCAAGGCAGAGCCACCAAGTGCCAAGCACAAAGTCAGAACTCGCACTGAGGGCAGAGAAGGGCTCACAGAAACAGCAAAAATGTTGATTAAAGAACAGCTTCGCAGAAAGGGCAAATGAACAAGCAAGCCACAGATTATTATTTGTTTTAAAATATTATTAGAATTCCCCCTTAAGCACTTACAGAGTTTTAAACTTTACCCTGCACACAGCAGGTGTTGATTAAAACACATTTGTTGTAAAACACAATATTGCTCTTTCAGCCTCCAAAGCTTCAGGACCAGTGAGTGGACTGTGGTCTTTGATGGGAGATTAGTCACTGAAGAAATACAGGTCTAAACCTCAGCCTCATGAGAATTTAGGAAGATTTATCTATTTACTTACTGTTCTTTGACTCCAAAGCAGCAGGCTGTCCTGATCTAATAATGAAAATGGTATTCAATAGATCATAATGCCAGAAATGTCCATTATGATAATCCCGTGCAATCTTCTGCATAGGACAGTGCCATGGATTTCATCCAGGGATTACAATGCTTGACTGGAGCTACAACTGAACCTCTAAGTGCTTTTTATCTCTGACATCAAACTCCGGGCTATAAAACAAAACCCAACACACACACACCAAGTTTGCAATTTATGAGTGCTCCACTAAATGCTTTTACTAGAAAAGAAGTGACAGTAAAGCAAGTTTCCCTGTTCCTTAAACAGGAATAAATCCAGTTATTTCACTGCCAGATCTACTTCAGATTTAAATTAATGTAAAAGACAAGATCATTTGAAAGCACTGTGCAGAATGATGTGAATACTACTCATTTACAATTCCTACAGGGAGAAGAATAGAGAAGTTATTTCAAGCTTTTTTGCATCCATATAAAACCATTTGTGGCCTTCCAACTGCAAGAAAAGCCATTTAGAGGATTCACTGACTTGTGTCAGGTAAAACACTAGTGACAGACTGTCACAGGAAATCACAAGATGCCTTCATGTGCGGTTTTATTCAATTTCCAGACTTAAAAAATGCATTCAATTATTGACAGGATTGATCTGAAAGGCAGGAACAACAAAAGAGGCAACAGAAGCCAATCCTTCTGTGGCCACTGCCTGCTTGGCTTTCCACTGTGCAGGAGCGTTATCATAACTGACCATTTGGTGCTCTGAATATTTATAAGCATTTCCCTGCACACTCACCCTTCTTCCCATTCAACACCAGCATCCATTCACTCACTGCAGTTCTTCCAAAGAAATTTCTCTTAAGAAATAGATTTTTTAAAAAAGCTAAATGAGGTCCAACTCTTCATTTTACACACAGACGCTGTGTGGCAGAAGCACTGAGCAGAGAAGACCTGAAATGTACATTTCGGTTCCCAGAACCAAAATATTTTGCTCCAGGTTCCCTAAATAAGGAACAAGGGAGGGGAAACAAGAGTTTTTCTCAGAGCTGGTGGCAAACAATCACTCCCATGATAAACGAAGAATGACAAGTGTTTTTGCAGACACGGCATCCTCATACCTCTGTAATCACCCAAGCGCTTTTAGTTACGAGTGTAAATGTCTGTGTCTGACCTTGAAACTTAGTTATGCCTTGAACCAGAGCCAAGAGAACATCCAAAAGGCTCTTCACATTTATTTCACAAATGTTTAGTAATGCTGACCCAACGGGGACAACTCCCTGCAGTCACCTACTCGTGATGTGAACCAGAACTGCCTGGGTACAGGAAAACTGCAGGAAATCAATGCACCCAGGAAGGAGAAGGTGAGTCAGCCCATCTCTGACAATTTCAAAGGTTGTTTCCCCTCAAATTAAAACAGCTCCTTTGCTTATGTCTCTACGAGATTTCCCTTCGAAAAGACTAAGCCCCTTGGTTTTATAGAGTTAAATCACAAACGTGTTAAGCGTGGAACAGTCGACCGTAACAGAGGCCAGCAGAAGTCATGAAACCGTGGGTGGTACACAAAATACTTTTCTAAACTGGACGTTTCCCTGAATTTTCCATGGAAAAATATGGTATTCCTCAGTGTGACAATGCAAAATAAACAGTGCAGCTCCTTAACACAACTGTCACGGCTTAAGCCTTCCAAACTGCTCCTCGGCCCCGTAAGGAGATGCCAACATTCCTCTATCAGCTTAAGCGTTCGGAAACTTCGCTTTCCAAACAAATGACAGCGGTAAGTACCTTAACACTGTGTTATTCTCATCACCGAGGCACCGTCCTACACTCACACACACGCTCTTGTTTATGGCTGGAAAGGACACCACAGGTTTCTGCTGAATTACAAGGAATTCCGAAGTATACAAGTTCAAAAGTTTTTGCTCATAAAGTGAATTTTACTACCGCAAAGGAAAAAAAAGTAAATTAATGTTGTTTTCCCTCTCCAGGCTGCACGTGGTAACAGCATCTTTTAAGATGAAATTGCAAGATACTCGCTGTAAGATAAATTTTGTTTAAAAGAGATATAGTGGTACTTTCTGGACAACAGCTTGTAAAGCGCATTTCATCTTAGGGTTACAGAGAATCTATTTGCACGCCAGCTAGAGGGAAAATGCCCAAAACAGCAGCTGGTGGAAAGTCAGATGTTTGTTAGGACAACAGGGCTTGGTTTCCCACAGCCTTTTATAACCTGGTACATCCTGGGAGCAGAGCAGGATCATTCTTGCCTGGCAGGACCGTCATGCCTGCTTTACGCACACACAAACCGCGACCAAGATGCAATCCAGATGCAGAGAAAACCCAGAAAAACCCCAAGTCCACAGAGAGCGAGGACTTTACCGTAAAGCTTGCTGGTATATGCAGACAGACTGTAAAAGCTAGATCTTACCATTAGCGTTTTTCCCACAGATGAGGTGCTCGTAAGGTTGCAACACTCCCCAAAGTTCCGCATCGTTGTTGATAACCATCTCCAGGATTTCAGCCGAGATCTCCCCTCCACCATCGGGGCTCTGACTCGCCAAAACCCTAGCCCTGATCTCTTCCACCAGGTTCTCCATGCACGCGGTTAAGGAGATGGCCGCGTACTCGTGGATCCTCACCGAGATCCTCGTGTCCACCATCCACCTGAAGAACCTGCCCACCGAGAAGGTGAGGCCGCAGCGGGCGGATTTGCCTTTCCTCAGCCCATCGCCGGCGCTCATGCTGTACAGGGAGAGCGCCTTGACAGTGGCCAGCACGCAGCTCTCGGCCAGGGCCCAGCTCTGGATGAGTTTGACGGCGCTCTGCACCTCGAATCGGGTGCACTTGGAGTGCATCACGCTGAGACGCTGCGCCTCCCGGGACACGCGGATCAGGGCGCGCCGCAGCAGCTGCGAGAGCCGCCGGACAGCCTCCTGCGAAAAGCTCCTGCCCGGGCCCTCTCCCTTCCCTTTGCGCAGGATTCTGCCGATGTCCTCATCGGTCCACGGGTATTCCTCGAGATCCGGCAGCTTAGGGCACTTGGAGAAGATATCTGCGACCTCGGGGTCTTCCGGCAGCACGGTGTTCACGGTGTCCCAGCTGTTATTCCTACTGTTCATGGAGCCCGAGTAGTACCACCAGTTGCCTCTGTGCTGAGAAGAGGTGAAGGCTTGCGAGTTGGACTTGGAAGAAGAGAGACTAAGGGACCTGCAGGAATCTCCTGCCCCATAACCAGAGTCCAAAGTTAAATCCTCCAGGGTCTTCAGAGTCGAGCTGTATATCCCAGCCATAGGAAAGACGGGTTAAGCCAAGCGGCAGGACAAGCGCGAAAGGTGAGGCTGGGGCAGATCCCTAGCGAGCGCCGAGCGGCGCGGGAGGATTGGCAGCGCAGCGGGCAGGAGCCCTCCCCGCGGGCCCGGCTATGTCCATCCCGGCGGGAGGCTGCTGTGCTCAGCCATGTCCCGCTCGGACCGGGCGGCGCGGAGGGCGCGGAGGCTGCGGCGGGACGGGCCGGGACGGGCGCTCGGCGGCGGCTCCGGCGCAACTTCCCCGCCGCGGCTCCGCCGCGCGCTCCGCACCGCCGCATGCAAATGAGGCGCGCGGCGAGCACCAATCGGCGGCGGCGGGTGAACGGCCCGGCCAATCACACACGAGGGGGCGGGGCGGGGGCGGAGCTCGGGCGGGAGGGCGCGGAGAACGGGCCGTGCCGGCTCGGGGCGCGGGGACCGTGCGGGGCGGCGGGCGGGGGTCAGCGGGCGGACCGGGGATGTCGCGGGCGGCCCCGGGGCCCGGAGCCCCCAGCGGGAGCCTTTGGGGCACGGCGGGTCCCCCCCAGCCCGAGCTGGGGCCGGGAGCCGCGCGCGGAGCGGAGGAGCCCAGCGCGCCCCCAGGGTGCGTGGGACGAGGGCGCCCCCGCGCGGCCGCGCAGAGCCGCGAGTCTCGCTGCGTTTCGGGCTCGGCTCCCCAAATGCCGGTAATTTAATTTTGTAATTTAACTTTACAACGCGATTTGCGTGTCTTCCTACAAGGCGCAGCCCCCACAAGTATCCCATACCCGTTGCTATTTACGGCACCCCGATCCAGACAAACACGATGAAGCAAGAGAGAATGCGTGTCCTTGATAAATGCTGCCACTGTCACCAAATGTGTAAAAACCCTCCTGCTCAAAGGATGACATTTTTATCTGTTCGTCCACACTGATTCTGAATTTTGCTCTCGATTTCTGCCATATTCTCGCTGTTTGTAGGATGTATGTGAAAAGGTGTGAGTAGAAGCCTAAAGAGTAAATTCAAAACTTCTCACAAAAGGTATTTTCACATCAAAAGCTATTGTCAAGACAGATCTTGCACAGTCCTTAACTACAGACTAAAAAAAAAAAAAAAAAATACATATTTTCCACAGTAATGTTCCTTACAAGATTCAGCTTCCAACTATTATTGACTTCAATACCTGGACTTCCAGAGTTAAGTTCAAAATGACAAATTGTCTTTGCATCGTGAGGACAAACCTTGCAGCAGGGCCTGTTGCAATAGCACAAGGGGAAATGTTTTTTAACTGATGGAGGGATGGCTTAGATGATAGAGGAAAGAGATTTCCTGCTTCAAAACTACAATGCATTACAGGGCATCTCTTTGTCTTTTTGTACTTCAGTATATACATTACTTAGTGTCAATAAAAATGTATCATAACTGTTAGGCATGAATTAAATACTTGAAAAATAATCTATTTTACTTATACACTTCTGCTCACATGATCAAGCAGCTTTGGTTTATATTAAAAGACAAAATCCTTAACAAGGTGTCCTAACTTGCATTAGTTGAACCCCAAAAGTAAATTTTTTTTTTTACATAAGATCATCTTTTATCTTTCTTATATCGAAGCCCAACTATGATGCAGCTCTCAGCTTTTTCATTATGAAATCGTAAACACACAGCAAAAGTTGTCTAATAAAACCAGACCTAGTTCTCTCAAAGTAATTCCAATTTAATTGGAAATCTTAACATCTCAACATCTCATTTGTGCTCCACTGTCAGCTCAGAAACTGGTATTTTCACTGCAGAACTGGTGCCTTGCTCAGGTGTTATTTTAGAGATCAAAGCTGACTCTGCTATTTTGGTGTATTTTTAGGCTATATTTTTAAGAGCTGACAATACAAAACAGGCAGTAAATATAGTAAATAGGTCTCTGAATGTAAGACAAGGCAAGACTGATTTAAAGCACCCAGTTTTAAGTCTCATGTGTTCAATCAATACACTTCTTTATAAAAACATTATCATCTTTTTTCTTACTTCTGTACTTAATCCCTAATCTTAGGGACTGGACTAATGCAGGCTTTTTAACAAGACTTTTGGTGGGTGACTATATAGTGCCTCCTCAAAACCAGGGTATTTATTTTATTCCCTGTTAGTTCCTCTAAGATCATGCACAGAAGACTTGTGTCTTCACAAGGATCACTGCAAGAACGGGAATGGGGCAAAGAAAGGCAACAGAGTTGGCCTCTCTCACCAAAAACCCTTCATGCTTAGTTTTGTGGTGCCTCTTTGCAAAAGCTTTCTCTAAAATTCATCCTGTTCTATCTCCTAGGATTCATTTCAACCACAAAAGCAAGGCTAAATTGGCACAGAGAATTGCTACACAGATGGCAAAGAGGAACTTGACATTATTTAGGAAAAATGCAGCTGTGCAAGCTCTCAGAACTCCTACAAACCACTTCTGTTCCTTCCCTTTATCACACTTCTCCCATACTCCCACACAGTTTGTTATTCCTGCCATTCCAAGTAATTTAACAACACCAAAAATTATCTGGTTTAACAAGCAGTGTCTGCTTTCCCACTTTCCTCAGACAGTGTTTTCTCATTGTAGTATTTATTTATAAAAGAAAAAGCTTTGCCAGGTAAATCCTTCTGTCCTTCTGCTGCAAAGGTATCACCAGACTTTTCCATAGGGGAAAAAAACCAAAACATTAGAACAAAAGCATCCCCAAATGTGGAAAGGATTTTCCTTACTGCAGATTTAAACCTCAAACTCCTAGATGTTGAACCCAATAAAGACAAGAAGTCATACATCAAAACACCCATAAAAACAACTTAACATTCCTTCATTTATAAGGCACAATAAATACTCTGCGTTTTTTTGTTTGTTTGCATATGTTTCAACTGGAGCTATCAGGAATCCCAAGTTATTTTCAAGCAATAAAAGTCCATTTTCCACGGACAAACTTTCTCATAATAATTTCTCTCTAAAATTAGGGTTAAAATAGAATGCACCAGAGGACTTTCAGGAACACAAAACAGATAAAACACTTAACAGTGGAAGTTCCATAATTAACAAAAACGTGGGACTCTGGAAATTCCATGTTTCTTCATGTAAAGGGTTCAGATATGAGCTTTTCTAGCTCTGATAGACTACAGGGTTTTAAAATTTTAATTTAAACTACACCGGAATTAATTAGAAATAAAAAGCCATCGCATTCTCTGATACACAAAAAGCAACTGGATAAATAGCAAACCTATTTAAAAAATAAACACTTGGTTTAAGGAGCTACAGCAGTCAAAGCAAGTGTAAAATCCCCATAGACTTAATCTCCAAAGACTGCTAATCAATACTTTTTAAAGTAACCAATACTGTTACTGTTCAAGCCACAAAGTTCAGTGAATTTCAAGGAAACAATATTCACATATATGGTACTGAGGAGCATAAACATCCCTTACCTCTAGGTCCCACATAAGCTTATTTTACTCACACGAAGCAAATAAGACTCACGAATTTCCAACAGGAAAAAGAAAATTAACAACACAACTGGCCTTAACAGAACCCTCAAAGAAGCTGCCTGATTGGTGCCACCAACCCCTCAGAGCAGCACCAAAAAGAGAGGAGCCCTTTCCAAACCTTAATTAAAGCAGTTGTGGGAGGGAGTGTTAATGAGCCCAAAGGCTCAACAGCTGCCTGGACTGCCATGGATGTTGCTGGAAATTTCCTTCTCAAGCTGCTGTCTGTGTTTTTGAACATGTGCTAATGGCATTTTCCTTGTGTAGCTACTTCATTAAACTGCATTTTATCTGCAAGATTCAGAACTATTGTTGTTAATAAACAAAGATAGCTGCTGTCTGATACCTGAAAATCAGTGTGAGCCCAGACAGCAGGAGATGTGGGGGGAGCAGAGATGAAGCGTGACTAGAGCAGAATCACACATCAAGTCTAAATTAAATGGAAAAAAAAAAAAAACATGTTAAGAGAATTCATTTTGCATATTTTCAAAGCACCACTGATGGAGAAAAAATGTTCATCTGGTGTGTTTTCTACCATGCAGCAAAATCCCCATCCAGCCCTTCACTTACTGTCTAACTGGAGTTGCTGGTCCAGTATTTGCAGTGACCAAATACTCCCTGCTGACTTCACCACTGCCAGGTTCCTGTATTTTCCCAGCTGGAGAGAAATTGTATTCAATGTGTAATAACTCAAATTCTTCCCCCATTCGTTTTGTGCAAAATAGCCTTTGCCAAGGTTACAATACTTACCTTTCAGAATGTCTTGATTGGTAATTAAGGTAAATCGACTTGATAGTGCTAATTAAAATTTAAAAAGAGAACATAGAATCTCATGAATGTAGAATTTTAGGAATAATACTGTCCCTTGTGTACACTTTTCAGATGGTTAGAAGTCACTGAAATCAGGGAGTGTGCTGAACAAATCTTCAGGCTGTTAATAATAAATGGACACCTCACCTTCTCCCTGCCTTGCTTTTATCTATGATCTAGCATAGCCTAAAACTACATTTTGCTATTAACAATTCCTATCAAGAGAAACACTCTTGCTTAACAAACCTTGCCTCATTTTTTTCCTACTCTACTATTTAGTCTAATAAAAGACATTTCTTGTCCTTACATAACTTGCCTCACTCGTATCCTTAGGCTGTCAATTAAAACATAATTTCTATTTAAATAAGATCAGGAACTTAAATTTGCTTAGCATAAGAAATCAGCCCAGATCAGCTTTACTGTTATTTATAATGACAGATAAGGCAGAGCTTCTCAAAATTAATACTGTCAAGAAAGAAGGGGTCATGTCTATCATGACTAATAGTGACTGTTAAGCAAGACCATTTAAAAAACTTTAATTGCTGAAGATTTTATATTACAGCCTGCTTCTGACACACATTTTCAGGTATGAAAAGCATAAGAAGTACTGAGAATCTATTAAGAATATCTTTTCTACACTCAAGAGCTGCCTTTTGTAGTAGATATAATTGGAGTAATAAGGAACTTGCAATCAAATCTCCCTGCACAAGTGTATCAGATGTCCCAAAATGAACAAATAAATGGTTTTCTGCTGCTGCTGCTGTACAGACAACTTCTTCAGAGATCCTCCAAAGCAAACTGGTCAGGTTCCAGACAGGTACAAACTA